CCCCAAAACCCCAAAACCCCAAAACCCCAAAACCCCTAATCGACCTAATCAGTTTAAGTATATTCATCGATAAATTAAAAACGATGGGCGATTGATTGATGAAATTAATTAAATCAAAGGCTGATTAGCTCTAGTGAAATAATTCTAAATTAATTATCATAATGTCATCTTCTAAATCACCATTCAAAAACAGTCTGAGAGTGAAAAAGGTATGTATATTTATTAATATATACAAATATACTACAATAGAGGAAGAGTATAGCAGAAATTCACTTCTAGGAATTCAATATGCAGTTTATAGAGCATGAAATACTTACCTCAGATCATAGAAAAGCATCAGTAAGTTACTTTAATAGACTTCATTCTAAAATATTGGATCATTTTCATACTTCGAGGAGGCTAATTAAATGAATTAGATTGATGTGAGTAAATTTAGAAAGCTCAAGACACCTTAGCTAATGGAGTCCATATAAAACTCAAGCTTTGGCCAATATGTTATTAATCAACCAAGAGAAAGCAATATGTCAAAGAAGAGTGTCAATAAGAATAGTGTCAATGCTTTTAGGTTGCAAAAAACTGTTTGAAAAGAGGTGTTCTAAGTGCATTACCCTAAAACTGGTTTTCCAATGATCAATCATGATGAAGCTTACAACATCAAAACTAAAAATCTAGCATAAAAAAGAAAGGAACTTCAAGCACTTTCTCAGAATCATAATAATTCAAATAGAAATAGGAGTGATTTCGGACATGAAAGACTCAACAGCAATTATGGTACAAGATAGCATGCAAAGACTTCTTTTAACAGTCCTTAGCGCAGACTCGTGTCATAGTCTGAGGCAAATAGAGAAAGACTTAACTATCATCATCTCGATCATAACATGTCTGCTATAGATATGAATCAAACTTATATAGATAATGGAAGACAGAGTGCTCTAGGCTCTTCAATCATACAGGAATTTGAGTTCAGGCCATAATCAGTTAATCCATATGCAGCAATCGCAGATTAAAACAATGTCCAAAAATAATCGTTAAAGGATGCTAAGGTGATCTTCAAATTTCAAGACAAGGGTATATTGAACTCGAGCAACCTAAAAATGAACAATATTACGAAGAGAATCAGCAACTATCACATCCTTAAAGATCATAGGAAATTTACTCAGCAAAGAGCTTCTAGCTAGGGTAATTATTCATGCATATTATTGTATAGCAACTGTGAGAGATTTAACTTTAGACCTATCTGATGATGATTAAACTCCAAATAGACAAAAAATAATTTATCAATAGAGAAAATTGTAAGTTGTTCTTTGCTCGGTAATTTGAGAATATAGATAGAATAATTACTTTAAAGGAAATCATGATTAGCATAAACCTACATTGAGCAAGGAATATGTCTAGAAAATTTATGATTCGAGATGTCTAGATCTTGGGTTGTAACTTCCAAGAGAGTAAGAGATCAGGTTCAAGAATTATTGTGAAAATAAATGTATCAATGGAAAGATTTTGCTTAAGGATGTAATATTCACATAATTTATTGAGTGATCTAGATGAATCTAGGATTTTAAACAGCATAAGAAATGACTTTAATCTTGATGCAGGTCGAGAACATTAGATATCTTGACTTGTAAAAGAATGCCCTAGGTGATCAAAGCATCACTATTCTTATGCATTCTATTAAGAGATCTAAGTCCCTCTATTATCTGAATCTAGCTTCCACTGCAATTACACAGAAAGGAGCTAAAAGAATTTTCAGAGCTTTGAGAAAGAATGAATCGTTAGTTTAACTTAGCTTAGGATGTGTAGATGGTGTATACAGGAATCGAATAGGTATGAAAGGACTCCATGAATTTAGAAATATGCTCTAAAATAACAAGACTCTAAGTATCCTAGACATCTCATACAACCGCATTATGAATGAAGGTTTCAAAGCACTTATCTTTGCTATAGAAAACCAAGAAAGTATCATATCTATCAATGTCTCAAATAATGAAATCACGAAAGAGTCTCTATTAGAGGTCAAGAACTCACTTGTAAACACAAGCCTGCAATCCCTAGAAATAAACAACAATGCTATAAGTAATGAAGGTCTGGATGTGCTTCTAGCTAATCTAAAAGCAAAATACAAGTCAAAGTTGATAAGACTTGATCTCTCTATGTGCAGTCTTAATCATAAGATATTCGCCAAGATTTTCCCGATTATCTCCAAGAACCAATTTCTTAGGTTTCTGATACTAGACAAGAATAACTTTGCTAAGGATGCATTTTCAAACATTAAAGAAGGGCTGAGGAATAACGTCACACTCAAATGTCTGAGTAAGCTGATCTATATTTTGATATACTAGGCATGAGCATGTGTAAGATAGATGATGATGGTGCAAAGACGATTGGAGAGTGTATAACAACAGCAGGGCATTTATAGATCCTTATTCTAAGCAATAACTCAATTACTGTAAGCTAATTAAAAGTTTTAAATAAATGCTTTTAGGACAGAGGAATGGAGTATATTAGCACTGGGATTACTAAAGCCCCACTAAATCGATTTGCTTTATAGACTCTTGATCTCTCATTCAATCTAATTAGTGTAAATGCTCAGGATTTAAGTGATATAGGATGAAAGCCATGAATTCATAAAGGATTTGATATGCTACAACAAGACAATAAGGACTATAAATTTCAAGTCAAACTTGCTCAGAGATAACTGTGGCAAAGCCATACTAGAAGGTCTCAATACTCACAATAAATACATGAGCAAAATTGAACTGACACTTAATTAGATATCATTCGCTATCCTTGAGCAAATAAAAATAAGACTTCGCTAGAATGAGTAGAAAGATGCAGTTCACAAGACTAAGCATTACTTTAACGAGAGACTAAAGGTCTTGTCCAAACAAGAGCGCACCTAGAATCTTCAAGCTTAGGAGCAGTACGAAAAGGCTTGCTAGGAATTGGTAAAGATAAACTTAATAGCAGATGATAAGCAGGAAAAGATGAACAAGATGATAGACAGCGTGAAAAATCAGATTAAAAAGCAAGAGATTGACTTAGACTTGTATTTGCAGAAGAGCCAGCAAATCGACAAGTACTTCAAGAAGCTTGACTTTGAAGCAATAGTCAAGTAGAAACTGAAGGAAAGCGAGTTTTCACAATTGGAGAAGAGCCTCAAGCAGTTGAGCTAGCATAATGAAACGATTGAGCTGAATTGTAAGCAGTCAATTTAATAAGTGTATATATAGGCTAAAAGCTGAAGCAGAAGATTCACAGGAAGCTAGACTTCTACATTCAGGAGGTTATGGATATACAGCTGCATATAGAGGAAGAGAAATAGAAGGCCAGTCCTATTAAGGAGAGTGCAAGAGCAGGTGGGGAAGATAGCAATAATAACTAGAGTCCCAGTCAGTCTTTCAATAAGTCCTTTAGCAAGAGTCCAGCACAGCTTATTAAAAAAGCTTTGCAGCAATAAGTATTAGGTAAGAATTTGTTAAATAATAGATTAATATAGGCTCGCCTTTAAAAATAAAGAGACTTGATTCATAGTAATTTTGATTTCATAATTCCCTTACATAAAAT